AAGTAAAGCAGCCCCTTCTCCAGCCTCGTGGCCAGAGGACTTACGGTTTGTGCAGTCCAAGTCATGGTACCAACTGTGTTCTAGGCAGTGGGAACTGACCAGGTGTTAGTCCAGTGGGGTCACACCAGACCTGGGTTCAGCAACCTTGGAACTTGGATTCTGGCTAGGCGAGAATTCAGAGTTAAGACCTGAACTACAAGAGAAAATTTATTTGATAAAATTAGAGGTTGGAAGAAGTAATTTCTAGAAGAAATGGGCTTAGGAAACAAGTTATAGAGGCAAAGGACTGAGGAAGCTAATGATAACATGCCTGCAAGGGTACCGGGGATTGGAGAAAAGGGAAAGGGAAAGACAAAGGCTGGCTGCTCCCAAGAGGGAGAGCCCTGGGTCCTCTACCCTAATGGTTTTATGTTAGGGGAGGTCCCAGGGAAAGATCTCACTGTAATACTCAGCTTTCTAGGTGTCCTTTCAGGTTTGTGGTCTCCACTGATTGATCGGTCCAAGTGGGGGGATTGTAGGGGGAGGGGACTGGGGGGCATCATTCAATGCAGCTGGTCCTGAGGTCAGCCATGACAGGTTTTGCTGTTTTTCTGGGCCTGGAGCTGGAATACAACTGAGGCCTACATCAGGAGGCCTAAACTGAGTCACCAGCAAGATGCTAGAGGAGTAAAGACCACCCTGGGGGCGATGTCTCATCCTACAATTGTCCTTACTAGGCACCTGGGGTGTTGACCGGTGACCTTCTGTACCTGGCCCATCATCCTGGTTCTGCTCATGTCTAACTGCTTGTCACAAACCTGTTTAATTTTGTTACCCAGTTTCATCCCCATAAATTCAGTAGAAAGGGAAAAAAACAATCAAAGACTGTGTTCTGTCAGACAGTTACAAAGCACAATAACCAGGGCACTAGAGGTAAACATGAGGGCACCAGACTTGTGTACACACTTCTTTTGGGGAGGTTCCAACAGGGTGTAGCAGAGGGGCAAAGAGAGTGAAGGTAGCACCCATACACTGATACCTCTAGAGAGGGTTAGAGAGTATTCCAGGTGCAGACCCAGAAAAGCAGATGTATGTTTAATTAGATGTTGCCCTCCAGGCCACAGCTATAAAGATGAGGCCTTTTTCACAGAAAGATTGGTATTTCAGCCGGCTCCCTCTGTGCTGGGTCCTGGGGCCAATTGGTTACTACACATTTGAGCCTTTAAGACCTGTTTCTCAGTTTCATGTAGCCTTGTGGGTCTCTTCGACGCAGGTTTCATTGGCTTTCAAATTTAGATGTTCTGGGAACTTGTCTCTCAAGTGCAGGTTTTAAAAGTTGGGGTACCCAATATGGGGTTCCATATGTAATTGTAGATTTGTTGTGATCATGGGAGAAAGTGAGTTCAAAAGCATCTTACATCACCCTCTTGAAGTGGAATCCTGACAGAGGAAAGTAAAAGGTACTCATGCAGCCATCAGGCTTGTGATCTGATGAGGACTTTCCACCAGCTCTTCAACTTTGGAAGCACTAGGATCATGTTTCAAACCTATGGTAACAGTCTCTGCTTTTAATTAGAGGATTTAATCCATTTACATTTAAAGTAATTATTGTTAAGGAAGGATTGATTTTTACCATTGTATTCTTTGTTTTCTGTATTGCTGTCTACTTTGTGTTATTTTTTGGTAGTAAATGTTTTAATTTCCTTATTTCCTTTCTTGTGTATTCTTTAGCCTTTTTTGTCTTTATTATGGGAATTCTATTTAATAGCCTGATGTTATTAACACTATTTAGCATTTACACCAGCTTAAATTCAAAAGTGTACAAAAAACTGTTTTTACAGCTCTTTTGCCTACCACTTTTAATTATTAATGTCACAAAATTATCTATTTTATTCATTGCACCTCCAAAATAGGCAGTTTGGTTTTTTTAACGTATTTTCTCTTAATTTATGTAGAAACAGAAATGGAGTACAAAACACAATTATAATAATAGCTTTGATAATTTCTCAAATATATATCTTTACTGGAGGGCAGTATTTATTTCTTCATACTACTTCAAGTTCTAACATTTTTTATTTCAACCTGCAGGACTTCCTTGAGCATTTCTTACAGGACATATTTAGTGATCACAGCCTCTTTCAGCTTTTATTTATCTGGAAATGTTTTTATTTCTCCCTCAGTTTTGAAGGATAATTTTGTCAGATACAGGATTATCAGTTGAAGACTTATTTTTCTTCCAGCAGTTTGAAGGCACTGACATTATGCCTTCATGATTTCTACTGAGAAATGAGCTGATAATGTTATTGAGGGTCCTTTGTATGTGATTAGTCACTTTCCCTCTTGCTGCTTTCAACATCTGTTTGTTTTTGTATTGGACAGTTTTTTACCACAGTGGGGGTATGAGTTCATCCTTACTAGAGTTCAGTGGGCTTCTTGAATTGGTGGATTCATGTCTTATATCAAATTTCAGAAACTTTTGGCCTTTATTTCCTTAAAGAGTCTCTCTACCCTCACTTCACATCTCTTCTTGGACTTCTCCAATACATATATTGGTCCATTGGTTGTGTCCTTCAAGTCCATTAGTATTTTAAATTGTTTTTCAATTTTTCTGTTACCTGGAGTTGATAATTTCCATCTTTTTTTTCTGATGCTAACATCTGATTTCAAATTCCTCTGGTAAATTTCTCATTTCAATTATTTTACT